GCGGCCACCGGCGCCGGAGGTGGCGGCGGCGGACGTAGGAGGAGGCGGCGGGGAGACTACGGGCCGGGGAGGCCCGATCTGGGCTGGCGGCGGCGATGTGGGCCTCGCCCACGTGGCGATCGGCGGTTAGACGAGGGACGCGGCGGTGGACGCGTCCGGTTGGGGGCGGACGTGTCCGTCGGTGCGGGGAGGTTTTTTTTTGGAGGAGGACGGGGAGAAATCTGAGATTTGGAATGGGGGGTGTATATATAGGCATAAGTGGAGCTAGGAGAGTCCAAATGAGGTGTGATTTTCGCCCACGCGATCGTGATCGAACGCTCTAGGACATTGTGCAGAGTTTGGTGGGTTTTGGGAAAAATTGGAGGGGTGTTGGGCTGCAACACACACGAGGCCTTCTCGGTCCCTCGGTTAACCGTTGGAGTATCAAACGAAGTCCAAATGGTACGAAACTTGACAGGCGGTCTATCGGTAGTAAACCAAGGCCGCTTGGCAAGTCTCGGTCCAATCCAGAAATGTTTAATGCCCACACACAAAAGAAAGGTAGAAATGACCACTGGAGGAGAACGAAGCGCCGGATTGCGAAACAGACAACGGGGAAAAAGCTCGGATGCATGAGATGAACACGCATGCAAATGAAATGCGCATGATGACATGATATGCAATGCATGACATGCAAGCAATGACAAGGCAACAACAGCGAATAACTGAACGACACCTGGCACATCGGTCTCGCGGCGTTACACGCTGGGCCATCTGGTTTATCCGTTTTACTCCAAACGAACGGGGCCGGACAGGATGGGATCGTGCGGTAAAGTTGGCCTTACATCTCCTTTTAGTGATGCGCGCGTGGTCTTCTAATGGGCCTGCCCAGTGAGGCACCTGCGTGCGTCGCTCCAACTATTTGCCGCAGGATACGGTAAACAGGAGCTCCCTGGTTTTGCTCTAGAACCGATCAAATCAACGAAAGAAAACCGTCTTAGGTGCTGTTTGGTTCTTTAGTACTAAAATTTTTTTTAGTCCTTAAGATTTTTTAAAAAAGATTTTTAAGAAGATGCTTCTAAGGAATTTTACTTAAAAAAGTCCCATCCTATTTATTTTGCTAGAAACCTTTTTTAATCCCAACACAAAAAAGTCTCTCGAAGCAAACACCCCCTAGGACCAGGACATGGGCCGGCCCACAGGACGGATCGCCTAAATTTTCCCAAGTTTTCTTGAGGGGTGCCTAAGTTTTCGCCCAAATAGGCGGCAGCGGCCAGCGCAAAATTTGAACGAAACCGCCGCGCCGGCCGCCGGAGCCCGAGCCACTCAATACTCCCGTGTCCAGTCCAATCAGCCGCCTCTCCTCTCACAGCTGCGCACACGCCGCCACGATTCAAGACCGCCGCCCGCTAGTCTCGAAGGGCCGCGACGGGAGGCATGGAAGGTGACGGCGAGACCTCGGCGGCGGAGGCGGCGCTCGGACTGAGCCCTCAGACCTTCATCAACGAGGTCCTCAACTTCGTCGACGACGTCTGCTTCCAGGCCTTCGACTACTGCCTCCAGTTACGCGTCGGATCCCTCTCCGTAGCTTCCCCCCCTTTGCCGCCTACCGGTTTTGCTAACTTTGCCCTTTCGCTGTCATTCTACAGGGAAGGCGCCCCCACGGCGGTCGGCGCCGCCACGGCGACCAATAAGGCCGAGGAGCTGAAACGGGTAGGTTTCTTCCGACCTCAGGATCCAATATAACCGAATCCTCCTTTTGAATTTTGGAGGATTCAGGGCACTACCAGATCCAGAATGGTGTCTTAGCCAGAGTTTTTGCATTTTACATGCTAATAATGCTCCTTCAGTGATTGCACAGGGGAAACTGTTAGGTTTGAATATGGACTAAACGCCCTCAGTGGCTTGCACATGTGAAGATGGGTCTGTTTTGCTTGTAATCCCACAGTGGGGAAAAATAATCTGTGTCTGCCATGTATAGATAGGTTTATTATATGTTCGAGTATACCCATTCCAAAGGAAATTGATGTAGCGATGTCGCCTTAACTGCCTAAGTAGATGCGTCTTTCAGGTGTAGAGGATATAAAATTTAGATTTACATGCTTGGTGATCCCTTTCTGTAGCAAACTGGATATTACTTTGTTCTGCAAACAGTGTCTTGGAACTTTATTGTGCCAGGAATGAGGTCTTCTTTGTCACACATTTGATACCAGACACTATTCGCAATTTCTGAAAGTAAAATGATTACTGACTGGAAGTTTGAAACAGTTAGAACAATCCTCATATTAACTTTAGGTTCGACCTATAATTCATCTGGTTTTACCTATAGCATCCTTTAGGATAGTTATAAAAACTGATTTATTTAGCCTATGTTACATTCTTTCATATGATTAAATGTTCTGTATATTTTTTGTCAAAATGTCTGCTGGAAACATCTGAAATTATGGACTTTGTGATGATTTTTGTCTTAGGGAGTAAATGAAATTCACCACTTGGTAAAGGATGTATTGGACAAGAGAATGAACAATTGGGAGATGTATTGCCTTCGGAAATGTTTAACTGTACCTGAAGGGTTTGTGGCACCTGAAGATGTATGTCTCTTATCTCAAAGTAATAAATTTTGGCAAGCCAGAATTTTCAATTTGACCCAACACTCTCGGTTTAGAATTAATCCACTCAATTCTCACCCCTGTTTCACATGATTCACTATAGATTATTTTAAAGATACTTTTCGTCTTGGGGGTTCATAATGTGGAAACTGATGCCTCATCTTATATTGATTCACCCGTTTGTGAAAAAAAAACATTTCATTCAGTTGACTCAGCAATTGACAAGGAAACCTTTCAAGATAAAAGTTGTGCACAGTTAATACCACTCAGGCTTGAACTATTTTGTAAGCTAATTAGAGAATTTGAGTTCTGCTCTCTACTCTACAGTGATTAATATTCCATCATTTCTGACTTTTAGGCTTTGTTTTGGCTATGAAAGCTTGAGCTTTTCTTTACCTATGTTGTATCTCATGATATTATTCAAGTGCAGTTTTTCTAAGTGCCCGTGGTGTACATTATGTTCTACTAGGAAGTAATATGATAAATAGTAATATCAGCAAGACCTTCTGAATCTCAGGGCAAAATATATCTGGACATTTCTTATTGATGTCTTATTTTGAATTGCCCAACTAATGCACATCATTAATTTGTTGGCCGTTGTATTGAAATAGATACCTTTTTCTTTTATATTCTTAGCATATATTAGTGCAATTCTGTTTTCTATCCATCTTCGTTGAAATTATTGCACTTAGATTTCGATTCTAGATGCCCTACAGGCAAATATAGATTTGTTCAGTATCAATCACACCATTTTACTAAACTGTTTGTAGGGAAATAGAAGTTTAATACAACTAAGTGATTAACTCATAACCATCGACTTTCCAGTTTGATATTATGGTACAGAACAAAGTTTCTGGTAAGTGTCATCCGCAGTTCAGTTCTTATATCTACTAAATGGAATCAGCGTGAAACATATAGTTAAGATTAAGGTCAAAGTTTTCTTGCAATACGGTACTCAATAAATGACATGTTTCTGCACATTTTGTTTCACTGAAGCCATGCATTATTTTATATTTACTTTACAACCTGCATTTCAAAAATCAAGAGGCATGTAAGTGATTATAATTAGAATATATTTTCTTCATCAGGATAATTCTTCTGCAATGGTGTTGCATAAAGATGGGAATTCTGATTCGGAACTGGATGCAGAACTTAATTCTTTGAGAAAAAAACTGGCAGATGTAAGTACTTTACTCGTAAAGAATTTGCTTGTTAATATTATCTACACTTAATTTAACAAACTCTGGTGTTGTTTAATTAGGCTAACAAGGAATCTGAAGAACTTCAAAGAGAAATTTCTTCCTTGGAAAGGCAAACTACATACAAGAGTAACCTTAATTCCTCTATCGCTGAAGTACTGAAGTTGTTTGAAGACAAATCTGTTCAGGAGAATATACAAGGTATGCATTAAATATCTAATTCTCAAAGTAATCAGAACTTTCAATTTATTGAATTATTTATTTGAACACTCACCAGTTCAGATGATTAGTGAAGGGTTATTGTGTGAAACCACACCAGATATTATTTGTTATCATAGCCTTATCACCTTAAGCCCTGAAGTCAATGTTCTTCCCTATCTCCTCGTTAGATCGTTGAGATACTAATTAGTAATTTGGTAGTAAGTGCCTCACCTATCAGTGTGAGCCATTTGTTATTTATTTATGAGCAACAATTCAATACACCATTAACCTTTGGTCGTCTTTTGAACTTTTTGCTCTGACGTGTTAGCTTTAGCAACCAGATGGTTCTCACACTTAATTATGACTTCTCAGTTTTTGTCTGGCAATGTTCTATCCTTTTTGCATCTAGCGTAAATACAGCTGAACATGGTTAACAGTATGCTTGGCAGAAATCACAAAGATCATATCCCTACATCTAAATTTGGTCTAGATAGTGCTGCTAGCTACTATTCGAGAAGCACTGCTTCTGCTCAATTATCTCTGGTTCAGAATGTATGCCTACTCAACTGTGCTGAACCTGCAGCTATTGCGAACACAATACCAAAATTGCACCAGAAAATGAAGGTTATGAAAAGGAAAAAGGTTGAGCTTGAGGCCATGGTGGGCCAAAATGTTTGGAACGTCAATTGTCTTAGAGACCAGAAGCGTTTAGCACCGGGTAAGGGTTCCACCGTCATTTTCCTCTGGATCTCTTCGTTGTTATCGTTGTATCTATGGCACAGACTTTAATCTCATCACCCTGTCTCACAGGTTCCGCTCCTAGCACTGAGGACATGCAAGAGGTGAATGCGGCTGTGAATGACTCGCGGAAGGAGTAACATGTGTTGTGGGGGTTTGCAATATGAGGATGTCAACCGCCCCCATGTACTACAAAGTCCCCTGTAATGTTGTCAAGCTACCCTCTCGCTAGCTACCTGAACTGCAGCTCTATCAGAACAGCTGTATGTACATGTCAACATCTATACATATGTTGTCTCTCCAGACTCAAAAGACCACTAGCACAGTAGCACTCTCCAGTCTCCAGCATTCTATAAGATCTCTAGTGCTTAATCCCATCCGTCTACCATTGTTGCCGCTGCACGCAATTGAGATAAACAAATAGAAAGATCTGCAGTAGACTCTCCCTGGGTGTGTTCCTGTCGAATACAACCTTTTTGTTTGTGTATAAAAAATTGTCCAATGCTCCTTTGTGTTGGGTTTCTTCTTTATGGCGTTTTGGGCCGCTGTAGGTTCATATCCTTTTCTCGGAGCTGTTTTCTTTGTATGTCTCAGTGGAAAGAAGTAACCGAAGTGGAATTGATGAAAATGAACTGGAGGTCTCTAATGCGAATTTTCTGCAATTCGTTGCAGCCATTATCCCACATTGCGTATGGCTCTTCTATGCTTTTTTACCCGTTAAAATAAATTACAGGTATCTTGTACACCTCCATAATTTCTTGGAAACTATGACCATTATGACATTTGCAAAAATGAAAGAGCAAGGTAAATAGTTTCATCGGCTATCCACTTATTGTTTCTTTAGGCCACAATTGATTACTACACTGTTTTTTTATATAATTGTTTGTTTAGTGTACACACATGGATTTACTTTCTTTTACATTTTTTGATTGAAATCGGGAGACACATCCAATATGGTATTCCCTTTATCCCATAATATAAGAACATTTTTTTACACTTTGCAGAATGTAATTTGAGATCTCAACAAAGCTAAAGAAACAAGATTCAAAAGGCAGAAAAGCTCTTCTCCTCCCGCCGGCGCCGCCGCCGGTCTGTCCCATCTCCTATGAGGTTAGAAAGGAAAAAGGAAAAAGGAAAAAGAAAAAAAGACAGCCGTAGGATGAGGTGGGAGTACGGATGGAAGCATGGGGAGGGAGCAGGCAAGTCGAATCCCTAGACCATGGAGGTGCGGAGGATCACGGCCCTCCACCGGCAGGAGGGACCCCGTTCTCGTTCTTGTTAGAGTCAGCGTCTTGGTTGGGGTTGTGTGGCGACGATGATGTCCCTTAGTAAGAATAATGTCTCCCATGTTCTATCCCCGTCCTAATGGTGCGTCTAGCATCGTCGGAGGGGTGTGGAGGTTTGTCTCCTTCGGATCTTGCGGGATTCGATCAGTGCTGGTCTCTGGTGAATCTATTTGGGTCTTGTCTTCGTTCGTCTTCATTTAGGTGTATAAAGGTTTGATCCTTCTGATCTACAACTTTCTTCATCGGCGATGGTTGCTAGTACTCTGGTGTGCTGGTCCTATGGTCCTTAACGCGACGACTTCTCTACTGTCTACTACAATAAGGTTTGCCCGACTCCAGTGAGGGAGGGGCGATGACGGCGGCGCGCCTTCAGCTCGCTTCAGTGCTTGTAGTAGTCGCTAGGTGACCCATGGACATGGTTATAATTTTTATTACCTTTGTTGTTTTTTTATACTATCATTATTAAAGATGAATAGATTGGAATTTTTTCCAGAAAAAAAAATGTTCAAGAGGCGTCCCGGAAGGAAGAACACCATCGTCTCTTCCGAGGAAGCGGAAAACGAAACGAAAACGCAGCGTCTCCGTCCATAAAAAAATAAGCCGTGGGCCAGCAAGGCACGCACGCACAGATCTCCAAACCCAGCCACGCCAGGTTAATAGCCGCCGCAACCCACAAGATGGACGCCAGGACGCCCCGGCACCAAAGGCTGCTCCGCACCCCGCGCGGCCCACCGACGCCCCATCATCCCCGCCACCACCCCGGCACGCCCGGCCAAAACCCTATCCGCTACGTCCCAGCCGCCGCCCCGATCTCCCCGCGCTCCGCCGCCGCCGCGGCCGCCGCCGCCATGGAGGACGACGCCATCACCACGCTCATGGACATCGACGACTCCCCCCGCAGCGCCGCCGGCGCCGGCTTCCTCGACGATGACGACGAGGGGGACCTCCTCCACTCCCACCGCATGGGCGGCCGCGGGAACGAGGCGCGCGGCCCCCTCCCCTTCGCCGGCTTCTTCAACACCTTCGACGGCGCCGACTTCGACGACTCCGATCTGGCCTGATCGAGGCGTCTTCCGGTACTAGTAATGAGGCTGGGAGGTCGTTCTGTCGATATGGTACTTGCGGTCTATCTAGTTAGGTTATCGGTGAAGTGAAACTATTTCGAGGCATCTGGAGACCTTTCGGTGATCAATCTAAGTATCGCACTGCTGCGTTGCCCTTGGATCTCGTGTTGTTTGGTTAATATATGCAAGTGCCTTAACTTATCCTTGATTAGTATCATCTCTGCGAGGTTCTCTTTATAGTTCGATCGGTTATGGATTGTTGCTATGTTATTTCTGCTCAATTGTGGCTGTGTTGGGAACGAGCTGATGCTATGCTAATAAATTAGCTTCGATTCTTGCTGTTGTGCGTTGTTTATCTTGCATAGATGGTGTTTGATTTTATTATTGAAAACATTAGTATACTAGAGATACCTGATTCCCCAATCTCTTTGATCATACAGGTGCAATTTTAGCCATTTTATGGAAGACGTTAGTCTAGTAGGTATACTTAATTAGCATATCTCTTTGACGAGCAGTGATGTTGCACTGGAAAATCCAATTATCATCGCAAATAAACACAGGGGATGCTTAGCTGGAACTTCAGTTAACTCTTATTATGTTCCTTTGCAAGACAATTTAGTGATTTGTTAGGAGTTTGATGATCAACCAGGATAGCTCAATTTTCACTTAATCAATGCTGCAAGTGCAGTGAAATTTCGTAAGCAATATGCCCGTGATTTCCGAGGAGTTGATGCACTAGGATAACCATGTACTTTTGATTGACCTTGCAATTGCAAGTCGCATTCTATTAGCACGGAAAATTGAACCCCTCTTCTTTGAAATCATCTCTATAACTTTATGAAATATTTTATGATTGTAAATTATTATTGATTAGTATCATCTTTGTGAGTTGCTTTTGTTCTCTTCCTTGTTCTAATGATTATGATTATGGATATGCTTGTTGTTGTGTTATTTCTGCTCGTGGCTGTGCTGGGCATGAGCAGATGCTAAGCTAATTAATTAGCTTCAATTCTTGCTGTTTTATGTTGTTGATCATGCATAGATGGTCTCGTTGATAAGTAGTAGTGGTATTAGTTTGCAATTCTGTTGAAACATTGGTCTACTAGGGATACTTAATTCGCGAATCTCTTTGATAAGTAGTGGTATTAGTTTGCAATTTTGTTGAAACATTGGTCTAACTAGGGGTACTTAATTCGCAAATCTCTTTGATCAGTAGTTGTATATGAGTTCCGCCACACATACGATGATTTCTGTACGATCTGTGTACGACACTCGATAGCAGCCGTCCATTTTATTTTCTGTACAGCTGGGATAAGATCGTATGAGGCTTTTATTGTACGCAGAGCACTTCCGGTAGTGGTATTAGTTTGCAATTTTAGCGATTATAATGAAAACGTTGGTCTAGTCGGGATACTTAATTAGTACTCCCCCTGTTCCATAATTCTTGTCATGGTTTTAGTTCAAATTATGGAACGGAGGGAGCAGACATCTTTGATCAGCAGTGGTATTGCACTGGAAAGTCCAATTATCATCGACCCTTTTCTGTAGTACTGCTTATGTAACTTAATATAAGAAAAAATTTTGACACTCTAAAAACGTCTTATAAAAAAATTCCAGAGGGACTAGTAAAGACAGGGAATGCCTAGCTGGAACTTCAGAACTCTTATTATGTTTCTTTGCAACGCAATCAGTGCAATGCTTGTTATGTTTCTTTGCAACACAATTTAGAGAAATACCATTGTTACAAGATGCATTAGTGCTAGTACTTAACAGTATAGTATAAACTGCTGTCCTATTGCGGTAGCTGTAGAGTTGATCCCAACTTAAACTGTTGCTAAGTTTGGTATTCAAGGATCTCGGCCATACAAAATACAGTATGAGTTTCTCGGATGGTTTATCCCAGACCAATCTGTTGGAGTGTTAAGGAAATAATTTGCAAGTAGCATGCATGACTTGTTAGAAACTTTGGTTGACCTAGCATCGAAAGCCTACTTGAAATTGGCCCTTGCTTCATTTTCTATGTCAAATGTCAATATCTGGGTGCTAATATGTTTTCCCTTCATATGTGCAATTGCTTGAATCATTGAAAGTCAACTCTTTCCAAGGCCATGTATAAGAGTGTGATGTGACAGTAAATAGTGACAGTAAATAGATTCTGTTCGGCTGTTTTTTATTTGGGAGTGCCGAATATAAGTGTGCTGAATATAAGCTGTCATTTTTGCTTTTTGACGTCTGGAACTGTCATATTTAATACTCCCTCTGTTCCTAAATATTTGTCTTTTTTAGAGTTTAAATGGACTACCACATATGGAAATTATATAGACTATTTTAGAGTGTAGATTTACTCATTTTGCGTATGTAATCACTTGTTAAAATATCTAGAAAGACAAATATTTAGGAACAGAGGGAGTAAAAGGGTGATGCTAGCAGCTGGTCGACCAGTTAGCGCCTCGTATCGGTGGGCGAGGCATCTGGGCGCGCCTAACCGATCCTTGTGTCACCCTTCGGCGACCAGTTTCAGCGGAGAGAAAAAGAAGGGCCCCTGATTCATTACACACTTCCCCCTCCGACCTCTTTGATCACTGGCAGCAAAGCCTACTGTCTGTGGGGATGATTCCGATGGTGAGAGGGGTAGGAAGGAGGCTGATCTATTGAGGCGCGAGGGGCCTCTTAAGCTGGATACCCTAGTCTCGGAGAGCCTTTCTTTCTTCAGTGTGTGAATCTATGTCTTTCTTCAATGTATGAATCAGAGATTACAGTGCACATTATTTTTTTAGAATCATGGGGGAGGGGGTTTTCCCCGCCTGGATATATTACTCAAAGAAGTCAGGCCAACTTCACCGCGCGACCCCATCTTGTCCGCGCGCGTCCGTTTGAGGTAAAACGGACGAATAGCTCGGCCTAGGAGGCGTCCTCAAATGGACAAATGTTCGGATTTCGTCCGTTTTCGACCCATCTCTGACCCAAACTTGCGCTCGTGAAACGGACGCGCGCGGACGGCCTGGACGCCCTTGTACCCCCGTAGCCCGCCTGTCGGGGACACTAGTAGTCCCTTCGCTCCTAACGCTTCCATCCTCTCTCTCCCGCCCCGCCCCGCCGCCGGCGCCGTCGCTATTCTCTGGTCGCCTCCTCACCGCGCAGCCACGGCCACCTCCTCACCGTGCAGCCCCCGACCGTCCCTACCAAACCATGTCTCGACATGGTCGCTACCACACCCGCGCTTTGGCCGTAGTTTTGGCCGTCGATCGGAGGTTTGGCCGTCGTCGTCTTTGCCGGTCGCAGAGGGGAGACGACCGCCAGCGACGTACCACGGCGGCCTCGGCAGCTTCCGACGAGAGCTCCAAAGCGGCCAGTAGCCGGCCGGCAACCACCCCTGCTGCGTCGAGGTGATCATCGCGGCCTCTTCGCCACCACGACCGCAAGGTGTTTGGCATTTTGCCCACAAAGGTATGGACAGTAGAGACGAGTTTTTCTTCCATCATTTCCTTTGTTCATAGGATGATGAAGATCTTGTGGTGGTTGCACTGGTCGTTCACGACCACATTCAACGGCAGCTTTCTCGGTACAGGGGGTCAGTCCCTGGCCGTGCTCCCAACCTAAACCGCAACAGGGAGAGAGGCCACGCCCTGCTTGTTGGGTAACGTAGCAGAATTTTAAAATTTTCTACGCACCACCAAGATCAATCTATGGAGTCATCTAGCAACGAGGGAGAGAGGGGTGCATCTACATACCCTTGTAGATCGCGCGTGGAAGCGTTCAAGAGAACGGGGTTGATGGAGTCATACTCGGCGTGATCCAAATCACCGACGACCAAGTGCCGAACGGACGGCACCTCCGCGTTCAACACACGTACGGTTGGGAAGACGTCTCCTTCAACTTGATCCAGCAAGGGGAAAGGAGAGGTTGATGAAGATCCAGCAGCACGACGACGTGGTGGTGGATGCAGCAGGATCCCGGCAGGGCTTCGCCAAGCGCAAGCGGGGAGGAGAGGTGTTACGGAGGGAAAGGGAGGCGCCAAGAGCAAAGGTGCGGCTGCCTTCCCTCCCCCTTTCTTTATATAGGGGCCTTGGGGGGCGGCCCTAGGGAGATGGATCTCCAAGGGGGCGGCGCCAAGGGGTGGCTTCCCCTCCAAGCCAAGTGGGGGCCGCCCCCACCCCTAGGGTTTCCCAACCCTAGGCGCGGGGGAGGCCCAAGGGGGGGCGCACCAGCCCACTAGGGGCTGGTTCCCCTCCCAATTCAGCCCATGGGGTCCTTCGGGATAGGTGGCCCCACCCGGTGGACCCCCGGGACCCTTCGGTGGTCCCGGTACAATATCGGCGACCCTCGAAACCTTCCCGATGGCCGAAACTAGACTTCCTATATATAAATCTTTACCTCGGGACCATTCCGGAACTCCTCGTGACGTCCGGGATCTCATCCGGGACTCCGAACAACTTTCGGGTTACTGCATACTAATATCTCTACAACCCTAGCGTCACCGAACCTTAAGTGTGTAGACCCTACGGGTTCGGGAGACATGCAGACATGACCGAGACGACTCTCCGGTCAATAACCAACAGCGGGATCTGGATACCCATGTTGGCTCCCACATGCTCCACGATGATCTCATCGGATGAACCACGATGTCGAGGATTCAATCAATCCGTATACAATTCCCTTTGTCAATCGGTACGTTACTTGCCCGAGACTCGATCGTCGGTATCCCAATACCTCGTTCAATCTCGTTATCGGCAAGTCACTTTACTCGTGCCATAATGCATGATCCCGTGATCAACCACTTGGTCACATTGAGCTCATTATGATGATGCATTACCGAGTGGGCCCAGAGATACCTCTCCGTCATACGGAGTGACAAATCCCAGTCTCGATTCGTGCCAACACAACAGACACTTTTGGAGATACCTGTAGTGTACCTTTATAGTCACCCAGTTATGTTGTGACGTTTGGCACACCCAAAGCACTCCTACGGTATCCAGGAGTTGCACAATCTCATGGTC